ATTACATTTTAATGATATTTTCATCTGAATATTTTAAAAGGTATCTACGTCAAATATAAAAAACATACTGAATGTATGTTTATCAAAATTTATTAACATAACATTTAAAATACAAATATTTTTATTTAAATCAGAATAAGAGTCGTTCATAAATGCTGGGCACGCGAGAGTTAAAAATGGACGAATTTATTGCACTGAATTGAATTTAATAATAATAATAATCTTTATTTGCATAAAACATGGTATAAATGTTGTTAACATGTAAGAACGAGCGCTCATGTTTTGCTTATTTTACATAGCATGCAAATATTTTAATTTTAAGTATTATAATGATTAATTAAATGTAAATTCTGAGCATCGTCAATTTCAATACTTAGTGAAAATTCGCATAACTTAATTAAAGATATATAGTAACTATACTTTAACAATAATATTTAAATGAAAGTTTATATAATAAATATTATCCGACACATAATCTAATTTTTACTATCCAAGAAATTTTTTTACGCTATAGAAATTATTTTCATTGAGCCATTTGTACGATTTCCTTTTGAACAATGTAATGTTTATGGTTTTAAGTTCGTCAGGGAGTTTGTTGTATATTCGAACACACATGGTAAGGCAACTTTTGCCGTATTTTTGTGATTTAGGTATACCCTTAAGTACTAGCTTGTGTGGGTCCCTACGTGAGCGAGTAGACTGCACCTCACAAGCTTTCTCAAATAATTGTTTGTGTCTCTGAACAAAATTACAAATTTCAAAAATGTATAATGCTGGTAGTGGCAGTATTCCAAGACCTTTAAATAGAGGGTGACACTATTCGTCCGGTCGTTTTCCGCAGATTGCTCTAATACACTTTTTCTGCGCAAGGAATGCCCGATTCCAATCCGAACTATTTCCCCACATCACCATTCCGTAACGAAGTTTAGACTCGGTATAAGCTCGGTAAGTCATTTTTTATATCTGTCACTTTTTATTCGATTGAGGGCTTATGAACATTTGTTTATTTTATTACAAACATCATCGATATGTGTTTTCCAGTTCATATTCTGGTCTATAATAACACCTAAAAATTTAGTTTTTTTTTTATTTCATCGATTTTTGTAATATTTAGCTTGAAATAGTATTGGTTATGTTTTAACTTATTGAGTTGAATAAAATTTGATTTTACCAAGTTAATTTTTAAATTGTGAGCTTGTAGCCATTCAATTATCTTATAACTTGTATTATTTACGTCCAATTCGTGATTATATATTGAAATTTTTTTTAGTCCTAACTATAACCGAAATGTCAACAGCGTATGTGATACATTCATGAGTTGTCGCATTAGATATGTTATTGATATACAATATAAACATAAACCTAAGATACTGCCTTGTTGGCCCCCATTTTGGGACCCCATTATTATTTTCAAGGTAGTTGAAATTATATGTTCTAACTTCTTTATTGATTAATTTTGTTATCGTGACACAATGAGCACGATTTTTTAAATACGAAGCAATCCATTGCAATGCAATTTATATTAATGCCCCTTATTCCTATTTTTTCCAATTTATTTAATAATAGATTGTGTAATACGATTTTGATGTGGAAACCCTAAAATAAAATAAAAGAATAATAAGCAGATTTAAACATGAAAAATTTAACCTAATTCTAATAACTTATATATGTTTCAACAAAAAAAATGTGTATAATAATATATTCGTCCTATACTTAAGTACCCACAGAAATGTCGCATCTGAACATTTAATTTCATAATCTATATTCCATGATACGAGATGGCGTCTTAGGAATAATTTGTTTCATTATTAATCTATAATACTTTTTTATTGATTAAGTATATTATTAACCGGTGAAATGTAATTCCTTGGTTTTTACTGACATTTCTTGAATTATTTGTACAATATCTAAGTACACACGACGGCAATTTTTATCAAGAGATTTTTTTTAAATCAACACAACACGTGACAACTTTACAAGTGCCTAGCGAGTGACTCAAATAGTATAATAAGTATATTATACTGGAGTGACTGATTAAAGTGCGGTGCATGCACCGCAGTTGAGTGGAACAGAGTAGCTGAATGCAGTGTCGCCTCTAGTACGTAGTACATAATAGCTCAATGTATTACCTACAGACAGACATTTCAATTTTATTTATAAGTATAGAATTTATGCATTTATGCAAAAAAGACTTTCTAGTTTTAGTGTCACCTCGACCTGTTCTACAGGAGACAGTCCGATTTTATAAAAAAAATCATTTATATAATTAAAGATATTTCTGTTGCTTATTTTGTATTATGTATTTTGCGTCTATGCTAAAAATAAATATCCGGTTATTCGGAAAAAACCGGTGCTTATTTTTAAAAGTTAATTTTTAATGCCACATTTTACGGTTTAAATCATAAATCATTAATTTTTATTTACAAGCATCACGGTATGAAGAGATCTTACTATTTATCAAGTGCAATCGTGTTTCGCTAACAATGGTAAATAGCATGCAAACACAAAATCAAGATTATTAATTAATTACAATCTAAAAAATCTTTTACGTCATAATAACATTCGGTTTTTAACCAATTAAACAAACGTTTCTTAAATAATCTTTCGCTTAATAATTTAAATTCTTTAGGTAGTTTATTAACTAATATTATTAAATATTTTAATATGTACCTACACATTAGGCAACTTTTGTTGAATTTAACGAATCTAGGAATAACATTTAGAACTAGTTTTTCTGGGTCACGTCGTCTCTGGGATTATGCTCAGGTTTTATTTATAAACCAATATCGCAAGCGCTTACAAAAGAGCTTACTTTTTTAAAACGTTGGAAACGCACCTGCAATAAAAACAATCGAACACACAATATACTTGACGGTAAATGTAATCTGAGGCCCATAGAATTCTATCCATTATATATATATATATATATATATATATATATATATATATATATATATCATAGGTATATAAGAATAAGAGAAAGAATAGAATATATAAGAATAAAGGTGACAAACAAGCACACAGTCCACCTGATAGTAAGTGGATGCTGTGGCCCATAGACATCTACACTTATCTTCGATTAAAAATCAAAACGTAGATGCATTGTCACCCCTGAGAACTAAGATGGAATGCTTCGTTTCCAGTAAAAAAGGTTCTCCGGATCTCTACACTCACCATACGAAACACAGCAGTATTAAGCTGCTATTTTACGCTGGTATTCTGTAAGAGCGTGGTCCTACCCCTGTCGAGCCGACCCGTTCGTGCTACAACCATAAAATACCACGTATATAAGTTTGAAATTCGTATTCGTACAACGTATAAGAGTTGCTAGTATTTTATATGATAGAAGTAACAAACGAATTTATGTACAGGTCACCTGATGGTAAGTGGGTAGTGCAATCCATAGACAAACAAACAACCTCATATCAAGAAGTCTACAGATGTGTTGTCACCTCTGAGGACTAACATGGAATGCCTCACAACCTGAAATCGTACTGACTCTCTATACCCTTCAGCTTGGAACACAGCAGTGCACGTGCTGCCATCTAGCGTCAGTAATTGCGTCAGTAAGAGCGCAGAATAGAAGTCCTACCAATCAATCGTCAGATAAAAGTTTTTACTTTCTTTCTTTTTTTGGTAATGGTTCATACTGTTGAGCATTTGCCAGTGTCAAGTTATAAGAAATTATCCAAAAAATATAGCACGTGAGGGTAATGTGGTCATCTGGTTAATATGGTCACTTTCTTATAACTCAAAAACTACAGCCTTGTTTACATAGATAACACTGTGATACGATAGCTCTTCATCGGTCAATCAAATAATAATAGATCAAAAGGGCGCTGTTTCGAGGACATTTTGACAGTTGACATTATAGCAAAAATTTTAATCGATTTTAGTATGGTGTGGTGTGGTTAGTTTTTTAAGTAGATTTTTCCAATTGTTCTTAGTTATTGCCAAAGCTTGTTTCCTATTTTTTCTTAATATATTAGTTATAATATACGACTGTGATATTGTCTTTTTCCGTCTCCTAGTTTTGGCGGCATATAGTGCGGCAAAGCTTAAAGTGATCATATTACCTCACATACCTTGTAATTTGTTTCAAACTTTTCTTTAATCTTAACAATATGTTGACGCATCACATTGCAAACTTTTTGGCAGATTTTGACGAGTGCCTGAGCCAACAGACAGACGATGACGAAACTATCTTAAGGCGCCAAAGCAGACACAAAAACTTGAGGTTCACATCACCATGCGAATAATTGTTTTATCGTTACCACTAATAAACAGTTCACATGCGCAGATATTTAATACACAAAATATCACCACTATTACGTATCAAGATCCACTTCAAACCATTATTTAAACGATCAAAGCAGAAGCATCGATTCATCGGTGATCAATTTACCTCAAGTTCCCGCCAAAAACTCTCTCCAGATGGAACTTATCCATCGAACAAATTAAAACTTAACTGAATGTAAAATTAAAAAGATTGAACTATTTTATGCATACAACTGACATTTATTAATTTGTAAATTTTGTGTTTATCGTATGAATAACTTTTATCAGAGGATCAAAAATCAACTCTAAGGCGAAAATTATCCCGTCCGTGATAGACTATTGAGGTTAACTCCTAAACATGGACCGCCCTCAATCACTGCCTCATAGGGGGATACTTTCTGTAATTACCACGCTTCACAAACGTGTTGATAACCACATTTTTTATTTTTAGTTGTTATTAAAAAGACGCTGTTGCCTATATCTTGTTTTGTTTCCCTATATAAACTTTTACCACACCTACGGGTCGATATGGGGTAGTGGATATTTTTACACCAACACTAGGTACAGTGATAAATAATACGCACTATTTACTACAATTTTAGTATAACTTTAAAAAGAAAACAAACAAAGTAAAAACACAGTCCATAAACTATCGTTATGTAATATATTTTATTATATAATTTGCAATAATATTAACGTATGTAGATAGATTTAAGGTTTACCTTTGATGTAAAAACTTGTCGTCGCCTTGTCGTCAAAACTAAACACGTCTGTGTGATAACCAGTAACATCCGCAACTGGTGACTGGTGAGGTGGTGGAGGGGTGAGTCACACAAAATCGTCACTGAGTACGTTCAAACTTGTATTAAAATGAAAATACTTATGTTAATGTTTACCCGTTTTACTAGAATTTTTATCTCTGCACCGATTTGCTTGTATGAATGAATACGGTAGATTTCTACGTCAATTTCAACTACTTATAGGCTAGCTGACGCGTACGCGTAGCATAGATTTGTTTTAAATTCTCACAACTAAAAAGAAAGTAAAAGTAGAAATTAAACTTTTAACTAAATATAAACCTTTTAAGTCGGCTAAGTCATATTGTATCGAAGAACGAAAAAATAATTTTGTTCTTTAATTCATTACTTAAATTCAAATCAATCAATTTGTTACTTAAATTCTCTTTATTAAAAGTTTGTTTTTTACCATTTTATGTAGACTTTGGAATATCGCAAGCTCAAGGTCAGAATGACCCATAGTCTGTAACTATGCTGGCTGTTTATACCCTTCAGATCAAGCACAACACACTGCTGCTTCGCGACAAAAATACGTAGGAGTTAGGCAACTACCCCGACGGACAGCCAGGCACTAAAAAAATCCTACCACCTAGTGAAAACGACGAATGGGTCGACTCAACCAGAGTACGACCACGCTCTCACAGAATACCAGCATAAAATAACAGCTTAATGCTGCTGTGTTTCGTATGATGAGTGTAAAGAGCCGAAGACCCTTTCTGCTGAAAACGAGGCATTACACCTTAGTCCTCAGGGGTGGCAACACATATGCATTTTAATTATATTATTTAAATTGTGTCGTTGTTCATTTGTTTGCCATAGTTGCCAAGCTTGGCGAGCGGGTAGCCAACCGCAGTTATTTATTGTATAAAGTAAAAAAAGTAAAGTTACAGCTTATATACGTCCCACTGCTGGGCACAGGCCTCCTCTCATTTCTGAAAGGGTTTTAGGGCAAGGAATAGTCCGCCGCGCTGCCCCAATGCGTGTTGGCGAACTTCACATGTCTTCGAAATATTTTTTATTTTTTATTACTCAGACATGCAGGTTTCCTCACGATGTTTTCCATCACCGCCGAGCACGTGGTAAATCAGCACTTAAAATTGCAATTAACAATTTCATTGGTGCCGGCGGGGGTCGAACCCGGTTTGCTCGCGTATTGTGAAATTTACAGCGAGCGCTAACCATCTGAGCTACCACGGCTATTTATTGTATAATTGCTGTTATTAGGAAGTTGCAGCTGCCTGGGCGGGGGTTAGTGTACTCCTAACTTTTGACATTATCAGTAGGACTACATAAACACCTATTCTGTTTTATTTATTTTATTTATTTGTATTTCTTGTTCGGTATTATATTTTCGTTATTTATTTTCTTTATTATCTTATAACATTACTGGCGTTAAACGTTCTTTAATATTCTAAAAAACGCAGTTTATAGTTTAGAAACATACGCGGCCCTGAAAAGGGCCTTTTATGAAAGTGAAAGAACGTACGGTTAAACCAACACAATCTTCAACTTACGTGTAGTTGTTACACTACACTATCAACAATTGAAGACTGATGTAATTAAACGTACTTCACAACACAATCGGTGTACCTACACAGAAGTAGAGCTTATTAAGCTCGCTCTCCGCGAATTCTGCGCGCCAACTGTATGTCTTTCGGCATAATGGTTACACGTTTTGCATGAATCGCGCATAAATTGGTATCCTCGAACAACCCGGCTAGGTATGCTTCGCTAGCCTCTTGAAGGGCCATCACGGCGGAGCTTTGGAAGCTGAGGTCGGTCTTGAAATCCTGAGCGATCTCACGCACCAAACGTTGAAACGGCAACTTGCGGATTAGGAGCTCGGTGCTCTTCTGTTAGCGACGAATCTCACGGAGAGCGACGGTACCGGGCCTGTAGCGATGGGGTTTCTTAACACCGCCGGTTGCTGGTGCGCTTTTACGTGCCGCTTTGGTGGCTAGCTGTTTACGCGGCGCTTTACCACCGGTGCATTTCCGAGCGGTCTGCTTAGTACGTGCCATTGTAGACTAATTACACACACACAATAAATACCTGCGAGTGTACATACGTCACAAGGTATTTTAAGACACCAGAATACCCTATTACTGGCAACGAGGCATTGCATCTCAGTCCTAAAAGGTGACCCTGCAGCTGAATTTTGATTCCTAATCGAGAGTATTTGCAAATACTCTCAACAATGCACCATACCAATATCTACTTAGAATGAGTTGGACTGTGAACACGTTTGTTACTCTTACTTCAATAAAAATATAATCGCCGCACGCCCCGCCCAGCTCTACGCTCAAACATAGGGGGGGCAATTCGCTTCCACACCTCAGACCAACGAAGAAAGATATTCGAAACGCTGAGTACATTTCAATATTACATTACATTATATTACATTACATTTCTTCAGAGGAGGCGACTGTGCTTTTGAGGGCACAAAATGAAGAGCTCCACTCTCTTTCCTCCACTCCGCTTTGGAGAATCCTCCACCGTAGAGACGAGAAGAATGGATTCCTAGTAACCTTTTCTCCGGACGACCCACCGGCGGAGGCTCTTTGGAAGGTGGGCGATTGAGTCGTCCTTGGCTTTAAGATGATAATTTTTAAAGTCAGTGGAGGCTCTGACGCGTTAATTGAGTCTGAACCAACCCAATCCCCCCAGCCTGCCACCTCTCGCAGTGAGGCTAGAACGCCATCAGTGACAGTGATGAAGAATCAAGCCGCTGATTTCGCCTCGGTCCGACGGCCTCCGCTGGTGTCGTCCAGAGGAGAGGGGAAGGAAGATGGGAGCGGTCAAGTGAAAGGTAAGGTTTACCGCCGGTAAAGGACGTCTTCGTCCTCAACAGGCGGAACTGGAGCGGAGGCGGTTCTGGCGCACTTGTAGAAAGGTTGTACCAGTTCTGGCGCACGACGTTCGTTCGACTCACGATCCTAAAAAAAAAAAAAAAAAAAAAAAGAAAGGTTTGGCATGCTCTGATCACGAATCTGCGGTCCATTTTTGCGTAGGATGCACGGTTCCGGAGATGTGCAGATCAATTAACTCTTATCTAATTGATATCCGCTACGAGCCTCAACCGTCATTAGCGCTCCATTGTCCTTATCTACTTATCTATTGTTGATTGACTACCGTCATTATCTATTATTCGTCCAGCGTGTGGGTCGGCTTATGCTATTGTATTATACTCCTTTGTTCCTATCTACAACACTAATCTGAATCATCAATAAAACACATTACCTAATTTTGTTAAAATTTTTATTTATAAAATACAAAATCTTATTACTTATTATCTATAAAATAAGAGCGAAACATCTCATCCACTAACATATCGTTGTACAATGTGTTCTCTGTAAATATACTCGTAAAACTATGCATTGAACATCCCTGAAACTTATATAGCAAATACATTAAGCAATATTCGCCACAAAGTGAAGTCCTATCAACATTCCAGTTCCATCTTTTAAACACATTACCTAATTTTGTTAAAATTTTTATTTATAAAATACAAAATCTTATTACTTATTATCTATAAAATAGGAGCGAAACATCTCATCCACTAACATATCGTTGTACAATGTGTTCTCTGTAAATATACTCGTAAAACTATGCATTGAACATCCCTGAAACTTATATAGCAAATACATTAAGCAATATTCGCCACAAAGTGAAGTCCTATCAACATTCCAGTTCCATCTTTTACAATTTCGTACAGGTGCCCGTCCATATGAATCAAAATATTCACCGTTGTCATTCGTATCGATATATAAAGCTACCCAATGTGACCCTGGTTTATCATCTGTACCCAAATTGCATATTACCTAGTCAGGTCATAAATTCAATCACATGTTTAATGTATAATTGAAACAAGTTTATTCATTATGTAACCATTTATATACCAAAATGAACTTAACAAAACATAGATTCTTATGACACTATAGTTTATTCAAAATGACCTCCGTAATTTTGAATACAGGCCTTCAATCTGCGCGGCCAGTCGTCTATCTCACCACGAACGAGGTCCATGTCATATCGGCGGCTGCCTTAATTAAAGATGTCTTGAGTGACTCGAAATTGGGATGAGGCTTTGAGCACGCCTTTTCCTCCAAGTGTTACCATATCTTGTAATCTAACGGATTCAAATCTGGACTGGTCTTTGTGTCGGATGAAGTCGATTTCACGCGCCGCTAGCCAGTCTTTTTTTTGTTTTTTTTGTTTTTAAAGAACGTTACCTCCACACTAGGTTTTTCTCCTGTATCGTGGGGGCAGTTTACAAACACAAATTTCACAAGGACAAACATCCAAACTCGGAACAATTACTTGTAGGTCGTACAAATACTTGTTCCGTGCGGGATTCGAACCCGCGACCCCCAAGCGCAGCCACTCATTGCTAAGCCACTACGCCACGGAGCTGTCAAAAGTCTTGTGTGCTCTTCGCTCTATGAGCTGACGTCGAATCTTGTTGGAATACCCAGTGCCTGTTATTGAACATGGTATGAGAAACAGGTTACACAAGGTTCGTCAGGACTGTATTTTGATACACAACTGCATTCGTTTTTAACCTTTCTCACAAAAATGTACCTCTGTTAAGCCCCAATAAGAAACTCCCAACCATACCATGAGCGAGGCACGCAGGACACGCGGAATACGGTTGCTCGCTTCTTCACTACTGTGTGCGTACACCTTATCATTTTGTTTGTTGTAGCTCTCTTCTACGGTAAAAAATTTTTTTATCCGAAAAAAGAATTTCCCGATATTTTTCCCCGCGTACCGCTTCACCAAAGCGCGGCATCTCTTCAGTCTCAGATCCATTAGACGAGCATTCAAACGATGTCCTGTTTTTCTTCGATATGCCCGAAGCCCTAAGTCTTCATTTAACGCCGTGGTTCTACTTAACCCCATCTGAAGGGCCAACAGTTTCTGCTTACGTTTAGGATTTCTTTGAATTCGCACCTTTACAGCTTTTATCACTGCTCGAGTCCTAACAAAACGAG